GTTATTTTAAATTATATAAACTTTTCATAATACTACCCTTTTACTGTATTTGTGATCAAATAAATACAGCCTTGGTGAGCATAAGAGACCTCTTTCAAAAACATTCAAAAATGTTAATTATTCCAAACTGTATTGCACTCCAGTTTTTATTTAACTTCTTTGCCAATATCAATATCCAGATTTCAGCAGGTAAAGACCCCAGCGTACTGTAATCAGCAAATTTACTGCAAACTCCCACCAGTATCATAATTATTTGTGGGATTCAGCAAAGATTATACGAAATACATCTATGGTTATTATGTGCTATAGCATTAAGGTCAACAATTATTTTATTACAAGTGTGTTTTATTCCCTGTGCTAGTAAAACATAAGTAACATAGATCACATATCACGTTTATTGTACAGCTCTAGGCCTGGACTCACTAAAGTGAGCGCCGATTGCCCTCACAAGAATAAATGAGATTCACATTGTTCATAAAGGGTGAATATGAATGATGAATGATGCATTTATATGGCATTTACAAACATAAACAGAAAATTGTTGTTAGGTCCATATGTTGGACAAAAACGCAGCATAGGTATAGCTACTTATCAATTACAATCTTCCATTAAAACAGACTTGGCATGGTATGATTAGTTGTTCCCTAAATAACATCCTTCTCATCCTCTCCTTCATTAGTCTGCATCGCTCCGCTTATCTGATCTGCTGTCACAACTGTTAAAACTGCACTTTTCTTCCCTCTCATCAAGCGTTTCTGTGTACCATCTTCAAAGGATGAGCGGAGTAAAGTGGAAAGGGAAAGCCCACCTACAGAGCTCAGTGTGTGTGTGATAGGCACACAGATGTGTGGGGGCAAGTAATTGGAATTCAGCCAAACAAAGCTTTCATCAAGGGAGACCTATCACATAAACAGTCTCACTTCATGCTTGTGTTGGTGGTAAGGACTCCTGAGATTTGCTTTGCATGGTTTGAAACATTTTATTGAAAGTTAAAGTTTTGCTTCTTTGATGTTCCATCGTCTCGATGATTGATTTGAAAATTTGGCCAGCGAGGCTAGTGATCTGAGGCCTCAGACTGTCAGAGGCCTCCAAAGCCTCAGACCTCTCAGCAACTGACAAAGAAAATGTCCCTCCTTGCATACAGCTGAATCAGTTCTACTGATACAAATAATTTCTATTTGCATCAGTAGAATTACTACTTTTAGCCATCGAATGACATGCATTTGCTTATTTATTTATTTACTTACTTAAGGTAGTGGCGAACTGTCAGGTTCAGCAAAGCCTTCTCTGCTGGCATAAAAGATCTTGAAATAAATAAATAAGTTTCTCTTGCTTTATCTTTATTTGTTAATTCTTTGTTTTTCTATTTTATGTATATTTTTGAATGCTTTCTATTCCTGATTCTGTCTATTTGCCATTTTTCTGTATAGTAGCCTACAATAGTAGCTATAGTTTTGTATATAGTAAGCCTACAAATAGTGGCAAAAAGTTCAGAATTCAATCCAATCAGATTTTTTTTTTTTTTTCCAAATTGCTTTGTGTGTACCTAGTGGGTGTGGACAGATCCGTGCGGGTCCTTCAGGACCTAAGTATCACTTAAAATAAAAAAGTGGTATGTTTTCAATGGGTTTACTGAAGTTTACACAAGGTTCACATAGAGCGCGTGTTATGTTTTGGGTTCCTTTCGTTCTATATAAACATGCGGACATCTTTTACCGTGAGTCCGTGACGCAGCTTCTCGGTATACGTTTTTAGTGCTAGTAAACGAGCGACGATTTTTTTAAGGTTAAATCTTGAGTTTCTATTTCTTTTTGTCTTTTGTCAAAGTTATTTGTTTTCGTGCTAAAGATGTTCTTCATCTGTGATTTCTTCATGAAATATTGGTGAACATTTGCTTAGATTGAGAATGCATTTATGACCTCATGCATAGAAACAAGCACGTCCTTTTAAGCGACTACAGGACAGTTTGAGATATGAAAAATTCATAACCTGACCATCTGCAGTATGTACTGAACAACACCTTGTTCAAGCTGGTTTATTCATGCTGCTTTAACTACTTTTGCTGCAAGGAGATATTGATTTGTGAAGGTTCTTATGTAAATATCCCACTCAGCTGCAACATTTTCTTTTCTTCAAGCATATTTTTCTCATATTTGTGTTCTGTGTACCTTTTCATTTTCAGTCATTCGCAGTACTGTACACAAGGCAGCACATCATTCAGTCAACGCTGCATTTGATAAGTAGAGAGGCTACATTACTCAGCAAGCAGGGAAGAGCAACACTATTAAACCAAAGCCGTCTCGCAGTGCAGTGATAAGGATAGTACTTATCACAGCCAAGCATATAGAGAAGAGACCTGACTGAAAATGGTCTGTGTTGTTTCAAACGCTCAGGAAAATTATCTTTTAGTTCTCTCTTTATCCTTCAGCCCACTGTCTATCCTCGAGACGGCGGGCTTGTATTCTTTTCCCATACAGTTAAACAACAGTCTTCATTCTAAAGTATGATAATCACAGAGGCCTGTAATGGCTACCTGGGAATGGAAGGAAAGTATATAGAGTGTTTAAACTGTCAAGAAGGGAGTGAACTTAAAGAAAAGAGAAGAGGGAGTGAAGTTAGGGTAGGAGAGAGAAAAGGCTGTATCCAACAAATAAAGGCTTTCTATTTTTGTGACATTTGAGTCATGGGTCTAATATACACATGTTAGCAAATGTGGGAGAAGTAGAAACATTTCACAAACAATCACTCAGTAAAGGAGGTGTATATGTATGCGCTCCAGTACTTAATTTAAAGGAATAGTTGTGACCCACGAATGAAAACTCACCCTCAGATCATCTAAGATGTAGATGAATTTGTTTCTTCATCTGAACAGATTTGGAGAAATGTAGCATTATGTACATCACTTGTTAACCAGTGGATCCTCTGCAGTGAATGGGTGCCGTCAGAATGAGAGTCCAAACAGCTGATGAAAACATCACAATAATCCACAACATGACTCCTATCCATCAATTAATGTCTTGTGAAGTGAAAAGCTGTGTATTTGTAAGAAACAAATTCCTAATTATGGCATTTTAACTTTAAACTGTTTTAGATTTTTTGCTTGTTAACAGTGCTTGATCTTGAGCTTATTTCTCTTCTGATTCAGATAATACAATTTTCTCACAGGAGAAAGCAGTATTATGGATAGAGGAGTCATATTTTATCTGAAAGCAACAGTTTGAAGTTAAAAACATCTCAATTGATTTTTTTTTTTACAAATATACATCTTTTCACTTAGCAAGATATTAAATGATGGACTGTAGATTACTTTATTGTGATGTTTTTATCAGATGTTTAGACTCACATTCTAACGGCACCCATTCACTCCAGAGGATTCCTTGATGAGCAAGTGATGTGATGCTACATTTCTCCAAATCTGTTTTGATGAAGAAACAAACTCATCTACATCTTGGATGGCCTATGGGTGAATAAATTCTCAGCATATTTTCATTTTTGCTTTAATGGTATAGTTCAACCAAAAATGAAAAGATTGTCATCATTTATTCACCCTGATGCTATTCTGTACGAATTTCTTTGTTCCATAGAACACACAAAGAAACATTTGTGGAATGTATTGAATTCCTCCTTTTGTTTCACAGATGAAAGAAAGTCATACAGACACAAGGGTGAGTAAAAGATGCCATCATTTTCATTTTTGGTGAACTATCCCTTTAAATCACTTTAAATGTTTGATTTTGTAGATGTATAATGTATGAAGTGTTTACTCATGTAGTCCCTAAGATAGAGTAACTCATCTTATATTCCTCATTCATGTGTGAAATAACAATTAAGATCCATAAATGAATGAATTTTAATTTATATGTATGAAAACGCTGTTGTTCATTCACTTGTGGCAATAATTATAAAACTAATTGCGATATTAACAAAGCATTATTATAAGAATATCCGCCTGAGGGAAAATACATTCATCCTTTTTATCCAGCGCTTTAGGATTTTGATAAGATGTGAAATCAACAGAGTTTGAGAGAGCGTAGAATTTTATTAATATTTTGCAGGCAGTTTTCTTACAGTGTTCAGAGCTACAGAAACACATGAACAAGTTAAAAGCATGAAGGTCAGCACTTACAGAAGACACAACGACAACACCTAGAACGAGTGGAGAGTAGAGCGAAGAGATGTACGGTGAATAGTCTGCTTTGAATACACATTCACGTACAGACACACATGCACACGCTCACACAGATACATGAAGGTCACTGATCTGTATTATTAAAGGTCTGAAACAGATGATGTTTAATAGATATATCGAAAGATAATCTATTTATATTTTTGCATATAAATAGATTATGATGAGAATATTTTTATTTGTACTACCATCTGGTTGTTGCATGAGTCTGAAACTGTGAGACTGTCATTAAAAAAGATAACAGTACAGAATATATTAAGCTACAGGGCACAACACAGTACATAACAGATGGTCAGAAAGGGAGACAACAGAGCAGTCTATGATCAAGATAACACCCAGCAAAAGACAAACCACATGGAAGTATGAAATAAAACAAGCAACAGCCGAAAGCACAACAGGAGATTGAGAAAAACACTTGTACATTTGGTATACAGATGTTTAGAGAGTCGGGTCAAGACATGGCACTCTTGCTCGCACGCTCTGTTCATCTGTTTCTCAAATCGAATAGGATTCTGAGATCAGATTTAACCTAATGTAAGGCAAATACATATTAAATGGCCTTTTGATTTAGACCAGGGCTGTCCAAACTCGGTCCTGGAGGGCCGGTGTCCTGCAGAGTTTAGCTCCAACCCTAATTAAACACACCTGAACCAGCTAATCAAGCTCTTACTAGGCATAGAAACTTCCAGTCAGGTGTGTTGAGGCAAGTTGGAGCTAAACTCTGCAGGACACCGGCCCTCCAGGACCGAGTTTGGACAGCCCTGATTTAGACGATTACCAATATAGAAGGCATCCATGGTTTGTGTTATGAAGACTGTACATTTTCAGATGTCGTAGTTTTGAGACTGTGTGCGATGGGACTGTCTAGAAGCTCTTCTGCTGAAGAAAGTCCATCAGACCCGTTTCCAAATATGGGTTGATTAGCCGTAGGAGCTCAGATGAGTCATGCAATTACGCTGACAAAAATCTAGCCATTCGCGAGGAGAGACAAAATGCTGTCTTGAATACGGAAGAGAGTGATGAACTCTAATTTGTACTAAAGGACACTGAACATTTGTGAATTGTAAAGGCTACTCTATTCCTTTTGTTGGATATATAAAAAATTACATGTGAACCCTTTTATCTTGGGCACACTGGCATTTCATTGTGTCATCTATTGCAGAGACAGCTTATTAGTTCAAGTCAAGAACATTTCACAGTATCATTATAGGCTAATTCCAAGTAAATGGCTTCTGGGTAATTCTTGAGCTGAACAAAATTCTATTCATGTAACCTTCAGGTATCTATGCTTTGGTTTGTTTGGTACATGACTGAATGCAGGTAATTCACACAGAAATATAGCTATTTTAAGTTTGAAATAAAAACATTCTGAGAGATTAATATGTAAATATTCGTTTTCTGACATGTAGCTAGCTGTTTTCTTTTATCTTGGAAAATTAGTATCAGAAGCGACTAATATATCTACTTTTCCTTGCAAATAATAATATTTTGCGTCAGCCAGAGAGATACTAACCTGAAGTTTTATCATAGTTGCAATAGTGATGCTAACATGATGCTAATACTGCAGTTCAAAAAATGCAGGTGGTTTGGTGTTTTTAAGAGATCATTTTAAACTAGGCAAGGTTTGATATGGCCTGTGTAACTGATGAAAAACCAAACATTTCCTTCTCAAAAACTGAAATCGCTGGTAATATTCAGTTGGCATCAATGCAGAATCACAGTCAGTAATCGTCCTTCCAAAATTCAGATCCTTCAATAAATTAAATACCAGGTACAATTAAAGATACATTAAGTACTAATACATCCAAATCAAGCCTCACACGTCCCCTTCTCTCAAAGGTTTATGCTGTCAGATTTAGCAGATGGAGAATTTACAGATGATTTGTAAATATTACTAGAACCGAGTCCCAAAATCTTGCCCAACATCTTTAAAGATACAGATATCCAATCCAGTAGACAAGGTTGAAGAGGCCAAAGGCGGTTGGGAAGAATATTCGGGAGTAGGAGTCGATTTTGGAGACGTGGACATGCATTCTGTTCTCACGCCAAGCTCCGGAGCGACAATCATCAAAGCAGCAGAAGAAACTGGTGCAGTCTTTCCCGTCCAGACATTCATACGCATAATCGTCATCCTCGTGGTAGGGAGCAATATTGTTCATCTGCAGCAGAGATGTCCCTGGTCTGATGTTAACCATGCTGGGTTTCTACACAGAGGAACAGCAAGGTCACTACCGCTTCATTGCTAAAACAGTGTGCAGTACAATAGCAAATGCCAGAGCTGCTGCACAGCACACTCAATTAACCACAAACAAAAGTACAATGTGGCCTATTCTAAAGTGAGCTGTGAATAAGTGAATAAGCTAATTAATTTGACATATCATTGATCAGCTAGGTGCTTACTTGTTCTGTGTTCTAAGCAACATAAAGCTTAACATTTTGTCATTATTTAATCCTCCTCATGTGACTTTATATTATTTATTACATATATTTTAAAAGAATATCCAGGCCATTTTTTCAATATAATGAAAGTAAATAGTAAAAACACAATACAGGTGTCAGAAAAGTGGTTGATATGATAGCTTTGTGTTAGAAGCAGACCAGAATCTGCTGATTTTCACAGAAAATCCTGACATTTGAGCTTTCCTTAGCATGTCGAAGTAGCTTTTGAATGGGATCTTTGGTTCATCCAATTCTCTTAAGTGGCCTGCATGATTTACTTATGAATCACATAGATTTGGTCTCTTCACAAACCTAGAATGTAACACACAAGTCACATGGACCGCTTTTATGATATTTTATGGTGTATTTGATCCTTTGAGAAGCATAAAAGTGATGATTCCCATTCACTGTACTTATACCCAACAGAGCACAGAATTTCTTTCAGAATTCAGAATTTTGTTTTCCACAGAAAGTTATACACGTTTTGAATGACGTGAATCTGAGTAAATGAAAGAATCTTCTTTTTTAGGCGAACTGGCCCTTTAATAACAGAATGACGTTCATTCACCTGTGCATGGCTTGATTTGGTCTTCTTGTTCTGTCGATTGCTTGTGAAATAATGCAGGGTCCCGTATTCCATAAGAGCAGCAAAGGTGAAGATGAAGCAGACAGACACAAACAGATCCATGGCTGTCACGTACGACACCTTCGGCAAGGACTTCCTCGATATGGTGCTTAGGGTTGTCATGGTGAGCACAGTTGTGATACCTAAGCCAATCGAGATGCACAGTAATTGAGCACCCCCAATGAAGCATTTCCTTTTCATTATCACATGCTCTTCTGTAATGCATTCACATCATATAATGAAATGCTATTGTTGTTCCTATTGATTTGTATTAATTCAGAAGTTTTTAAATTACCTAAAGATGTTCTGGCAGGCACAGCATCCTTGTTAATCCAGAAAGAGACCCAGGACAAAACCACAATCATGCTGCAGGGGATGTAGGTCTGGATGGTGAAGTAGCCCATTCTCCGGCTCAGGTCAAAGAAAATGGTCATAACCACATACTCCCCTATTAATACAAGACATCAATGCATTTTAGACACTTTTTTTGACAGCAATTAAGCAACTTAATGATCAAAATGCTTAAACTTATGCGTAACTTAATGCATAAACTTAATTATCAAAATATTATCAATGACTCCAAATATACTATTAAGAAATAACAATAAAATAGTAATAATAACAACAATAATGAATTATTGTTATTCATTATTATTAATAATAACAGCTAATTTATTATGATCAACTATTATGCTGTTATAATCTACTATAATCTACTATTATTAATGCTAAGTAGTAATTATAATAATTAGTCCAAATCTATTATTTGTAATAATAAGAAGACCATTAATTATAATATTTGCTCAATTACAGTTATTGTTATTTTGATTATTATATATAAATCTACTATTAATAATCTTCTTGGTATTATCATTAGCAGTAGTAGTAATAATAATAATAACTCAAAATCTACTATTAATAATGTCAAATGGAACATTAATAATAACAATAGCAGCTAATGTATTATTATTATAATTATTAATAATAACTTCTCATGTAGCCTATTATTATTAAAGTTTTTAACTATTTTTGAATATTAACAATAATAATTATGATATCTGCTCATTTATTGTTGTTGTTGTTATTATTATTAGTAGTAGTAATTACTGAAATTATTGTCTGTTATTATTATTTATTGTGTGTGTTTTTTTTCATACCAGACTGAGTGTGTGCCACATCAGAAGTGTTCCGTAGACCCACAAAGGCAAACTGGTAAAGCCTCCAGTATCGTTGGTCTGCAACCTCAACCGAACGACGCTGCCATCTATACTGGATCTCATTCTTTGGATACCCATCTGCAAATGGAAAAAAAATCACATCCACCAGATTACACGTGACCTTTCGTTTCGGTATGTAAATAAGAAGTTACAGTGATGGCAGAATGGCACTGAGGCTTCACACAGCAGCACTCTGTTAGACTGAAGCGCAGCATGCCCTTCCCGTGCCCACAGAGGATGATGACACATGAGAAGCTGAGGCATGATGCTAATAACGGATGGAGGGGTCACACAGACTGAGAAGAGGAGAGAGGGGATGGAGAGAGCTGGAGAAGGATGATGTCTGTCCTCACTCATTGCAAGGTTAGAGGATGGTAGTTGGTGCAGACCTTCTGCAATGTTAAGGTTTGGTTGGCCAATATTGGCAATGCATGGTTGGCTGACAGAGGCAATGTATGGGGATTGGCTGCCCGGCAGCGTTCAGGATAGGACTGAGTGACAGATTGACATAAGAATTTAACACCTACAGCTTGAAAACTCCAGAGGGCACGAATGTTCATCCATGGGAAAGTTATGCAGCTTAAGGTAGCATTCCGCATTAATAGTCAACCTAACAAAAAGAATCATAGACAATAGCAAAACAAACAAAAAAATGTTGATTGTGACATTTAAGAGGTAGTGCATTTGTGCAGGCTTTGATATTTGTACTATGAACACACTCAGTCTGATTTAACAGTCCCTGACATAAATAAATGTGAATCAGATGTAATGGCTTAAACATGTGCTGCAACGGACAGCGGGTGTCATTTGGTACGAAAGCAAATGCTACGGGACAGGAATACGAGGACACGTAATTTTGTCGCACAAACATTCACTCGACTCTTAATGGACACACCTTAGAGTATACATCACTCTTCCATTGCTCCAGAGCCGCAGAAGGCGATTGGGTGTCGTGATCCAGTGGGCGTCAGATTTGCGTGAGTTGCGGAAAAAGGTGTCAGGGATCCAGATTTTTCCGACCATGTTGCTGTTGAGCATGAGGAGTTTCATTGAGCTGTTGAATTTGAGTCTGCTGTCGTACCACGCCTGAGCAAAGAAGATGTCTATGGTGTACTCCTAAAAAACACCAAACAATCAGAGGTCTAGCCGTAAAAGTCTTACGGTTGCTTTTGTAACTGTAATTATGTGGCTATTGGTTGTGACAGTGGATATGATGGTCGTGAAATGGATCTGAACGGTTGCTTAGAGTGTTTTATTTACAGCTCTGAACAGAATGTGTTATTGTACATTTCTGCTCACCATATTGATGGGATCTACTGGACCTATGCTGTTCACATACACTGCCGTCTCAATCACAGTCGGTCTCACTAGAATATAATTTCAAATATTCAAATTGCAATAATTATTAATCATCATAATCAAATAAAAAAAGAAATACATATAAATCACAGTTATAATATCAAAACAATACAATAACACAGTAAGTGATTTAATAAAACTGTATATTATATACAGCCTGTATTTAGCATCCATTTCAGAAAAGGTTGATGTTCTATTATATCCATAAAATCAAAACTGACCATAGTTAATTAATGCACCTTTTTCATGTTATACGAAAAACATGGAAAACATATTGGAAAAATTCTCACAATTCCAAGTTAAAATTTTGCAATTCTGACATTTTTCTCTGAATTTTAAGTTTACATCTTATAATTCTGTTTTTTCCGCCATGAAATAAAAAATAAAAAAGGTAATTAAAACTTTTTATCTCACAATTTGGACTTTTCTTCTCAGAATTGCGAATTTATATTTCGCAGTTGCAAGTTTATGTATCTCACATAATTCTGTGGCAGAAATTGGCTTCCATAGAAAAATGTGAAGAGTTTATTTGCAAAAACAGATAACTCCGTTTATTTTTTTTTAATTTTCAAAAATCATGTTTTTTATTATGTTATCATGTTTTCATTGTGTTAGTTAGCTGTATTTTTAGTTATTTTTAACCCAAATGCAGTTTGATTGAGATTAATTGGAATGCACAATGAAAAAAACATGATTTTTGAAAATGGTTATCAGTTTAAGAGTTATCTGTTTTTGCAAATGAACTCTTCATGTGTTTTCATAAGCTTTAATCATTTATTAACTTATTATTCATCTTTTTCCTTTCTCTTTCTGCATCACTTAGTGTGGGCTATTGAATAATGTTAACCAATAGCCAATAGCAAAACCAATAGCCAACTATTTTTAGCAAACTCGCAGTCACATTCAGTCTGGCTCCATCCTGGTATGTAAACATCCAATCAATTCCTAATCAGTAGATACAATCAAATTTTCTCACTGAATATCCTGTTTCACTCAGAAATGCATCTCATTACAGAAGTGAAATGGGCTGCAAACCAATTCATGTTTCCCATAACAGCCACACAAATTACTCAAAGCTGCCTGAATCCTCATCCTTGAGGTTTCAAGAATATTCCTGTCACAGGAAATCCAGTCACAGAGACATGACAAATCACAAAAACTCGGCAAGTTGACCTGCAATCCCTCAGCACTTGCTCTGTGATCTGATTAACTGAGTACTGCTCATACTTACACTCTCTCCCTCTATCTCAGACACATGAAACACAGATAAAGAAGGAAGATCAATAGTGATTTGGGTCTATTGTACCCAAACACCACTGAGATAAATCCTCTTAAATAACTGAACTCTAGTCAGCTGCGTCGCTTCCAGAACAGTGATGTACTGAGAATAAAGTGACCTGGCGTAGAGAAAAACATCAGCAAAATCCTAAAGCCTAGCACTTTTTCATTTAACACTGCAATAATGCTGATGGTAAAGTAAAAATGATTACAGAGAAACTCTGAATTGCTTGGAGGGTTTAATTGTCACAGTGTGTTCCTCTTCATGTGGCTTCATAATTATGATGGCATTATCTTATAATTATTAACATATTTCAGTTACCCATAAGTTGTAACAGTGTGTTTGAGGGTCATAAACATGCCTAGACAGTATCTGCAGGCAATTTTGTGTGCACAGATCCTGGATGTAAGCATTCAACCTTTTCAAAAAATTGGACTTGCCTCCGATATCTGGTCTTAGTTTGTTGTCATAACCTTGCAGTAATTTGTTTAGGATAAGGGTGACGTCATTCTCGTAGACCTTTGGTGATAAAACCCAAGTTTTATTTATGGGGACATCCTCGTAATCTTCCTCCTCTGCTTTGCTCGGGCCAAATGCCATGCTGTCATAAAAAAACAAAAACAAAGAGAGGCATATATGAGCAGACAGACAGCAGTGAGGTAAATAATAGAGCAATATTAGATTTAAAATTGAGAGTAGTTAAAAGAGGAGTCAGTTTATATTAGGAGCTTAAACTCTAAAGAGCTGGTTTAGAGAGCTAAATTTGACAGACAGAGGGAGAAAGAGAATTCGTATGATGAGTTTTACAGGAAGAACAGATAAAAGAAGTCATCAGTGACTGTAAATGTATGGGCCACCTTGACAGCAGGAGAGAGGAGTCTTTTAAATGAGCGCAGTGCTGGAGATACAAAGAGGAGGTTCTAATAAAAGAATGCAGTGATTAATGAAGATGTGTTCTTGCAGTGGAGGGAGGGAACAGCTGAAGGTGAGGGGTTTAAATTATCACCCGCAACTCCCTCTCGCACTCGGTCTCTTGCAGTATATGGTGTAAGAGCTCCTAAATTTATTCTCCTCTGATGTCACAACTTTTGCTTTGGAGAAATGTGACCCTGGAGCACAAAACCAGTCTTATGTCGCTGGGGATTTTTTTGGCACCCTCAGATTCCAGATTTTAAAATAGTTGTATCTCGGCCAAATATTGTCCTATCCAAACAAACCATACATCAATGGAAAGCTTATTTATTCAGCTTTCAGATGATGTATAAATCTCAAAAATTGAGAATTTGAGAAAAAACCCTTATGACTGGTTTTGTGGTCCAGGGTCACAAATGAAGGTGATGCGCATTGAAGCTGCTAACAGTGCAAAATACCGCCTCTTGGGTGATTTGCAAAATATACAAAACAAGATTCGGTTATACTTTTTATTAGGAGTCTTTAGCCACTATGTACTACAATCATCAGGTGTATTTATTATGTTCATTCTGCTTTGCAAAACACGTTTGCTGTTATTGAGATGAGATGTGGTTAAGGGTGGATTAAAGGGTCAGCAGTATAATTATAGATATTATGTAATTGCTGCAGGTATTTTTAATTGTAAGTATGATGTAAAACATGTACATAATAAGTGAATTGTATCAAATTATTAATTTAAATGTTAGTACATTGTAATATAAAGCGGGTCCCAAGATTCAAATCTATTTAATGTCTGTTATTTTGCAGGGGGAAAAAAGTTTACAAAGTAGACACAGCCAACTACAGCAAAATTATACTTGCTCGATTAATGTCTATAAACAAGAAATCTAAATGGTACATTCCCATACATATGCAAATAATGAAAGACAGAAAAATCAATATTGAAGCATCCCTGTGGATGAGACCCAGGTGGGTGGAGAGAATGTAGGTTATTGATCCCCGTAGGCACAGCGCTGAGCAGTTGAAAAGCAGGCTGTAAATGGAAAATACAGACAGAATATTTTCCTCAAATGCAGTTTATAGTGTCTGGACACAACAGTAGCCTCTGAATGACCTTTGTGGGCCTCAGAGGCAAGTGCTAATAACCATGATGAATACACAGAAGACAAACAAATGCCCGAATAAGAGGGAAAAAAGTGTTTTGGAGCATAGATGAGACATTTAGAAATGGTTACTGCCAATCACATAATTTACATGATGTAAGTAAATGAGAGAATTGTAAATATTGCAAACCAAGTAGCCTATGTATATTCTATTAAGCATTTATATATGTGCATAGGCTACCCGTTGAATGAGCTGGAAAAAAATTAGATGAAGCAAAGCAAAGTAGCGCGAGCCAACATAAGTGTTCATGTGGAGTACAACTTATGCATAACATTTACAACGGAGAAATTGTGAAATACCCTTTTAATCTGACTATATGATTATGCAAAATCTTATAGTGTGTGAGCAATGTAGTTGTAGTGCTGCTTGATGAATTGTAGCTGATTGCTGGCTAAAGTATCCTCAAGGTTGTTTGTTTGGAGACTGACATTGCAGGTCCACGCTAAAAAGACAACACGACATCAACACGAATGCCCTGAGCAAAACTGTCAGTTACAATCTGTATTATCTCAAATGTTTTAAGTGTACAGACAACAGCACGTGTCGTGGTTGACAGTTGTAGGTGGTAGTGTTTAGGCTGATACATTTTTTGTGCTAAAAGAACAACGTAAAAGTAAATCGTTCTGCAGCACTTCGCGTTACAGAATCACACCAGCTGTTCGCGTCGTGGACTGTCCAAGTGTGCGTTTCGGTCAAGGGCTATTTTAGTAGTCACATTGATTGCACCCTTTGTTTCTTTTGCCCCCTATGAAGCGAAAACTTACCAGACTCCAAGCAGACCCGGCAACAGCCAAACCAGCGTCTCTTTTCTCCGGCGGCGATGCAGCAGAACCATCGTGAGAAAACTCGGTTTATAACCAGACGATCTCCGAAATTAATTAGAGCTTAAAGACGATCAAACCTTTGAGAGATTTAAGCGAATCTTAACACTGTGGTTGAAAGCGTCAGCGTATGCTGTCAGTTGCTGTCTAGACAAATGCACATAGCTTGAGCCTATAGTCTATATGTCGGGCAGCAGAGGCGGTGTGGATGTGAATGGTGAATGCGGGATTTCGCTGATTGCGGCACCGCTGCGTTCATCCAGCGATCTGCTGAGTGAGACGCTCTCGATGTTCCGGGAATTATTAGAAACTGCCTGTGGAAAAAGAGCTGACTGCTCTACCTCAGAGACTTTACATCAAGCTGTGATTTATGAGACCTTTACTTAGTTTTGCAGTTGTTTGGGATGAATAAAGTGACAAATGCGACATTTCCAATGGCGTTGCACCAAGATGTGCAAAGTAGCCTACTCGGACCAAACTTAACCCTATATAAAGAAGATAAAATTTATCTCATGTTATGTTGTTTTTGATGGTGTGTATGCCTGTATGGATGAGCTTTTTAAAGAAATTTCTGTCAGTAATTTACTGTCAGTCTCACTTAACCAAATTTGGTGTGTTTCGCCCAGCTATAATTTGCCTAAATTAATTTTGCAGCCACAAACCTTTTTATTTATACATTTCATTTTTATTTTTTGAATATTTTTACTTATACAGTACAAAAGTTAGGACACATTACTATTTTTAATGTTTTTGAAAGAAGTCTCTTATGCTCATCAAGCCTGGATTTATTTGATCAAAAATACAGAACAAATCAGTAATATTGTGAAATATGATTACAATTTAAAATAATGTTTTTCTATTTTATTATACTACTTTAAAATATATCTCTGTGATGCAAAGCTGAATTTTCATCAGCAATTACTCCAGTCCAGTCAGATCAGTGTCACATGAGTTTGGGTGAACTAACCCAATGGCATGGCAGTGTAGGCAGGACAGATAACACTGCCAACTTATCATCCATATTTCCCTACTTATATTATTTTTATTTGGTTTTATACAGGTGTCTGATGTTGATGTTCTGGGCACTAGTATCTGTTTGGTTGCGTCGCGTCTGGGCGCGTCAACGGATGTCAACAACACATCTGTGTTTGTCCTTCAGGCGGACCCGCTTTGAAACCGCAACATTAATTGGTTTAACTACAGATGAGTGACAATTCAACTATATCCAATGAACAATGAGGCTAGTATTTGCTGCCCGTCTTGACTGGTGGACTGGCATATAGGGGATGTTACGGTTATGGAGGCCCCTCCTCAAATCCCGAGGCTATCGCCTGCTCTATAGCATTATTTGTCAGAACCTGTTTTTTACAGTCTATGGTCAGAACACCGGCCCTGGTTTCGCCATTATACAGGCTAATCTTAAAACGGCAAACAGTCCACTGAGGTTTTGTTGTTGTTGTTTATAACAGTTTTAATCATTTAATAATGTATGATAAAGTGAAAATAGAATAGGCCTACAATGGGAGCTCGAGCGGCGTACTGTTGCTATGGTAATCTTCTCAGGCTGACGAGATTTCTGTTCGCGAACATATTTGGATCTTTTATGATATTTTTTGTGTAACTTTTGTGGTTATAGAATCGCAACTGAAACGTGTAGCCTACTCTTAGCCTAGATGTAAAAAATAATACCCTTTTTTAATAATTAAGAGAGGAGGAATCAGAAATTGGTTTGTTAGTTTCAAATTTTGTACTTATCATACTTTTTATATCCGTATCAGATGTCCCCACAATGATTGTAAAACCTGAAATTTATGATGTTGTGGAGCCATAATTCTGGTCCCCATGAAGAAACGGCTTATACATACAAAATTATGTTTTGTTTTATGTAAGGGTTAGGTTTAGAGGATAGAATTGAACGTTTTTACAGTATAAAAATCATTGTCTATGTATCCTCATAAAACACAAATACTCATCATGTATGAGTGTGTGTGTGTGTACCTAACCATATTTTGAGAACAAATTTGTAGAAGTGAGATAAATCTGACAAGACCTCTTTTTGGGAATATGCTCACTGGTAAAAAACTATTTAAAAAGTTTTTTGGGGGAAAAATTTGGGGTGTGGGTTTGGTTGTAGTATTTATATAAAAACAATGGATAAAAGTCTAAATGTTTCCATTTAGATCGATAGGTAAACGTGCATGCATGTGTGTTTGTGAGTTTAGGGCTGCGTCCGAAAGCTTAGGCAGCTGACTTGATGCCTCTTTGGCTTTGCAGGCAGCGTTTGCACATAAAGGTACCTCACAAAACTGATTTCGAATGGACTTCTGAGGCAGCATGACGGTTTATTGATCTACAGCATAACAGAGAGAGCTTTGGTGATAACCAAGCAAACATTTAATTATTAAAATACTAATTTCTCACCAAAGCAAACATTTAATTACTACAATGCTAATTTCTCACCAAAAATGACATCAAAAGTGGTCAAAGTTGGTCATTACATGCAAACTGACCGCCAACCACAACTTTCAGATGCCATCTTTATTTATTAGCTCAACTGTCAAAGGAAATCGAATGCACAGGATTGTGGGATATCACAGGCAGCAAAGGATACATATGCTGCCTTCAAAAAAAAAAAAAATCAAATGATGGTATTTCAGTAGACAGGATGTAAAATGATCATTGGATGCAGACGTGCCTTGTTGCCATCCGACCTCCGTATGCTACCTACAGAGGCAGCATTTTTCAGCTTTCAGACGCAGCCAAGAGCGCTTGTTCTTAGAGATCTGCCTTCCTCCTCCAACACACCTGTGTGTAATTTTCAAGTGTTCCTGAAGATCTTAATTAGCTGGTTCAGGTGTGTTTGATTTTGCATGCAAATCTCCATGTACATAGTACAATGAACAAATGAACATGACTGATTCAACATTTGTGTATTATCAAATTCTTAGATGATTTCATTACATTGAAAATAAAGTTAAAAAAGATAAAATCCCCCGAAAAACCATTAAATCCTAAATGACATTTTGACCCTCCAGGTGCATATGGTGTATAATACATGGCAGATGAACAAATTTCAAAGCATCAGACCTTTACAACACATAGCCATTGCTGCTCCATTTTAAGACACCTTTGCAATATTCATGGCCATATATGGCTTCGTGATCTGGAAGATATTCACCTCCTGATATATATAGGCTAAATGGCTGTTCGTTCAGTTTTATACTCCATTATTGTCAGCACCATGGAGAGCTCCACGCAGCAAGAAGAGCAGAAATAGACACTTTCCAGACTCCTCATCCTCAAGACAATTTCCTCTTCTCTTTGCCATCATTCCTTGAATTCTAAACCAAATAATAACATCATTCAAAAATTAATTCAAAAGTTAAAAATATCAGATGTGTATCAGAACATCACATGAATGAGTTCATAGTAATATTCTTCAACATACTGATATGTTGGATATGTTTCGATTATTTATATTTGATTATACATTTCTCACAAAACATTTGAAATGCTGGAATGATTTGAGTATAAAGGCCAGTGCTCTGTTGCAGCCTCGCTTCATGGTGAAGTACTTTGCATTCAGATGTGCTCTGATGCTCTGACACAAATGAAAGGAATGGAAAAAATCTCTATTATTTTGTCAGCCATTAACATCGTGAGACAAAATGATGAGGACCTGAGACATGCCCGAGATATTCTCTGCTGGACTACACATCTCTCACACACAAACACACACACACACACACACACACACACACACACACACACAAGTACATTTTAATAACAGTATGATGAGGTCTTTTACAAGCACAATAACCTAATCAGGATTTTTAATGTTTGAAATATTCATATATCATCTGTGTAAATTAGTTTTTAGTGATCTTTAATGTAATCTACTTGAAAAAAAACTTAATCTTTGTAGTGTTATAAAGTTATAATACAATAATAAATTATATTTATCTGCTATAATAGCATGCACAAAGTTTCCTAAAATGCTATGTACAGTGGGTACGGAAAGTATTCAGACCCCCTTCAATTTTGCACTCTTTGTTATATTGCAGCCATTTGCTAAAATCATTTAAGTTAATTTTTTTTCCTCATTAATGTACACACAGCACCCCATATTGACAGAAAAACACAGAATTGTTGACATTTTTGCAGATTTATTAAAAAAGAAAAACTGAAATATCACATGGTCCTAAGTATTCAGACCCTTTGCTGTGACACTCATATATTTAACTCAGGTGCTGTCCATTTCTTCTGATCATCCTTGAGATGGTTCTACACCTTCATTTGAGTCCAGCTGTGTTTGATTATACTGATTGGACTTGATTAGGAAAGCCACACACCTGTCTATATAAGACCTTACAGCTCACAGTGCATGTCAGAGCAAATGAGAATCATGAGGTCAAAGAAACTGCCTGAAGAGCTCAGAGACAGAATTGTGGCAAGGCACAGATCTGGCCAAGGTTACAAAAAAATTTCTGCTGCACTTAAGGTTCCTAAGAGCACAGTGGCCTCCATAATCCTTAAATGGAAGACGTTTGGGACGACCAGAACCCTTCCTAGAGCTGGCCGTCCGGCCAAACTGAGCTATCGGGGGAGAAGAGCCTTGGTGAGAGAGGTAAAGAACAACCCAAAGATCACTGTGGCTGAGCACCAGAGATGCAGTCGGGAGATGGGAGAAAATTGTAGAAAGTCAACCATCACTGCAGCCCCCCACCAGTCGGGGCTTTAGGGCAGAGTGGCCCGACGGAAGCCTCTACTCAGTGCAAGACACATGAAAGCCCACATAAGGACTCCAAGATGGTGAGAAATAAAATTCTCTGGTCTGATGAGACCAAGACAGAACTTTTTGGCCTTAATTCTAAGCAGTATGTGTGGAGAAAACCAGGCACTGCGCATCACCTGTCCAATACAGTCCCAAAAGTGAAGCATGGTGGTGGCAGCATCATGCCGTGGGGGTGTTTTTCAGCTGCAGGGACACGACGACTGGTTGCAATCGAGGGAAAGATGAATAGATGAGGAAATCCCAAGTACAGGGATATCCTGGACGAAAACCTCCAGAGTGCTCA